AGAATGTATATATGTGTGAACAGGTCCTTGACAGCCTGAAGAGGATGGAAGGATCCTGTTCATAATATATGGACCTGTCGCAAGACAGAACACTAATATTAAAAAAAAATTCTACAGTAATATATATATCCCTCCCCCCCAATGCATGGTGGAAACATGATTGAGTAAGATGAATTAATTATGTTTGTAGCTACCATATGATAGTCCATAAACTCGTATATTATAAAACACCTACTTGTTACAAAGTGATAAATTATTTAACATGTTGCCAAACTGTAATCATACTGAAATGGGACAGGGAAATTTGGAACTTCAGCCATTGCTGAAGAGGAATAGTAAAGAACGTTTCTGACAGAGACCGTGTGAGGCAAGACCCTTGTCCGGCAGACGGTGAGGCAGGGTACGGGTCCAGCAGAGACCCAGTGAGAAAGAGACTGAGTAAGGCAGAAAGCTCGAAAAGCCATGACAGAGTCATATGGAAACCTGGTGTGGCAGGTACGAGTTCTAATAGAGAGCTGTTCGGGTGGTGCAAATTTTGAAAATTTTCAAAACATCAAAAATTGCTAGACATTGTATAAAAATCGCACAAAACCATATATTTCGAAATTATTGGGGAAAAAATTTATATAAAAATTGTTCCAATTTTTTAGTGTAGTGCACCATTTGGAAGTTTTCCATCATTTTTATTTTTTTAAAAAAATTGAAATATTTGATTTTTTTTCCAAAATTCTCTCCACCCGGTAACTGCCAGGGCCTGTCTCTGACGAACCCTCTCACTCATGGACCCAGAATTTGCTGTCAGTCTCTGAACGATCCGTTCACTGTATGACCAGGTTACTTGCGGGCCGTTGTCGTAAAGAACATTTCCGACTAAAATGTATGTTTCTCTCGTGTCCTATAATTTGCCCGATACAATTTAAAAGTGAGGTACAAAATCACAGGAAGCTTAACGAAAAACATGACACAACATGTGTGCCCCCATATTTAACTTAAAAGATACATTTAACAAGATAATATTCAAAGGTGAATCTCAGTTTGGATTTTCTTAACATTCCATGCTACATACAAGATGTATCACTCTGAATTATGTCCTTCACAGAATCACTTTAAAACACTGGGCTTATACATAAACTGCCAACATATGATCTCATAATAAATGGTGAATGTGGCCAGATGTATTAACATTTTGAGAAAGTTTCATCTATCACAACCTCAAATTTGGCAATTATTTATTTAAGACTTGAGGTTCTCACAGCGGTGAGTATGAAGATATCCGTCTTCTGGGTTATTGCGCTGTGTAGTCTGGTCGATGTTAACCAACGTTTCAGAGGTCATACTGCCTCCGTCATCAGGGCGATGAATATCCCATTAATTTATCTGCCCTCGTATTTCTTTAAAAATAAACTGGCTGTTGAAAGCAAAGATATTTTACAAATAGTTTATATTTATAAGGACATTAAATATTCACACGTCGCCATTTTTCTTGACCTACGAGAATTACGTAATTTCCTACTTGAGCACTGAAATCTCCTGTAATAAAACGTTTATTCCTGTTAACCATTTCCGTTGCGTTTATGTCAAAATCCTCTGTCACATTTTCATCAGATCCCATTTGGAAAGCGTGCATCTGCTTAATATCCACCAGTTAATTTCCATCATACTATTATATTGCACGTTGTATCAATACTATAAGAAGTTTGTTTCATTCAATTACGGGCTCACTGAGCTTCATTTGTGACGTCACCATAGGTGCAGAAGACGCAAATGTTCCTATTCCAGCATTTGAGACAGATTTTGGTTCGGCAGAAATTGGCTATTATTCTAACGAAAGATTTCTGGACGCCACTCAAGAAGTCGACATTCAGCAGTTTATTAACAATGAGGTTAGTGTGAACTCTCCTTTGGATTTCAACAATTATGTGGGCCCAACGCCGATTCGTGAAAACATTTGAACTATTTCCAGCCTTCCATCCGACTCGTACGTTACATGCAGTTCAAAATCGCACAACATAAAAGTTACAACACCAGGTCAGGTTATGACAGGTAGATGAAACAGAGGGTCAAACAGAGGTCACCCCAGAAACTGCTGAATCAGGTTGAAGCTTGTAATTTATACAAGAGACAGAATAAGTCCAGTGTCTTTCACCTTGAGTTTCGTCACAAATTCCTTCAAAACCTGCATCCTTAGAGATCGCCTACGAGATATTCGCTGCATGTGTTTTCATACTTGTTACCCATAATTCTAGTTCCTAGTCTGATCCAAATGTTTATTTACTTTTCAGATTCCAGAAATGGACGTTATTCAGTTTGCATCTACTTTGGGAAATATCATGACAATTCCAATTTAGAATAGTTAAGAACTTAATAGTTAAATTGTTTTCAGTTAATTTGTTTTAGTTAAATAGTTTAATCGTTTTTGTCAAATAGTTTATCAACTTTAAAAAGTTAAATTGTTTAGTTTTTTGTTAAATAGTTCAGTTTTTTAAATTGGTAAATTGATTAGTTTTTGTTAAATAGTTTCTAATTAAATATGAATTATATATTTAAGAATATTAAATAAAAAACATGTTCATAAACTTTCCTCTTGTTAATTTGGCAAAGTAATATTTGAATGAACTTGTCGCCCTCAGTGCACTTGTGGTTAATGTGGTCGCCACTGGACCCAAGGTATGTGGGTTCAAAACCGGCCGAGGTCGATGGATTTTCAAGGGGTGACAAAAATCCGTAGCACAAATTCCTTCGAGCGGAAGTAAAGCCGGCGGTTCCATGCCTAAGATTTACGGCACGAAAAAGCATGAACGAGATGTTTCGTACGGAAAACTCGCCGGCCATTTCTCACACAAGTCTCTCCTGATTCCTACTAGATGGCTCTAGCAGACGAAAATAAGGACAGAGTAGAAATTGTGCGGAGGCAGTGGGCATTTGGACATTTTATGCCCTCTGGAAAATTTAGGCTCAGTGGGACATTTAGGCCCTTTGGACATTTCAGGGCATCTGGTCCATTTATGCTCTCTGGACAACTTAGGTCCTTTTGACCACTTAGGAACTTTGGACATTTTAGGCAGTCTGGCCCATATAGGCACTCTGGAGCTTTTAGGCTCAGTGGGAAATTTTGGCCCTTTGGAAAATTTAGGCCCTCTGACCCATTTGACCAATTGGTAATATTAGGCCATTTAGGCTACTGAAACCCACCCTGGTCTTGGAAACAAACAGCCCAACATATGAATCCGCCTCCCCCCGTAAACTATCCTAGCCTAGCCTAACCTAATCCAACCTAACCTAACAAAACAACCCAACATTATAACATAACATAACTTAACCTAACATAACGTAACCTAACCTAACTCAACCTAACACAGCATAACCAAACTTAACAACCTAACCTAACGTAAATATACAAAACTGGACTTTGGGTCATTTAGGCCCTTTTGGCTATATAGGCACATTTAGCAAGTCAGGTCCTTTGGTTATTTTAGGCCGTATTGGCGATTTAGGCCTAAATGGGACAGTTAGGCCCTTTTGGTCATTTGAGCAAGTTAGGCCCTCTGGCAATTTAGGCCGTATGGGCCAATTATGCCCTCTGAGCAATTCAGGCCCCCTTGGACATTTAGGACCTTTTGGCCATTTAGCCGGGTAGGCCCTCTAGACAATTTAGGCACTTTTGACCATTTAGGCCCTTTCGAACATTTCGGCCATTTTTACATTTTATGCCCTCTGGCCGATGTAGGCGCTTTTGTCCATGTAGACCCTTTCTGACCATTTAGGCCCTTCTTACAGTTTATGCCCTCTGACCCATTTAGGCCCTTGGACAATTTAGGACATTTTGACAATTTCGGCCTTTTGGAAATTTTACGCCCTCTAGCCCATTGGTTATTTTAGGCAACTTAAGCCCACCCAGGACTTGGAAAGAAACAGCCCAACCTATCAATCAGCCAACTAACGAAGCTTAACCTAACCCAAAGTAACCTAACGTATATTTACCAAACTGGCCTTTGGGTTATTTAGGCTCTTTTGACTAATTAGGCTTTGTTGGTAAGTTAGGTCCTTTGGACAATTTATGCCCTATGGGCGATTTAGGACCCAATGGGACATTTAGGCCTTCTGGGCTATTTAGCTCATTTGAGGCAGTTAGGACCTCTGGACAATTTAGGCTCTATGGGCCATTTAGGCCCTTTTGACCATTTAGGTTATTTGGATAAATTACGCCCCAATGGGACATTTAGACCCTCAGGGTGATTTAGGCTCTTTTAGCCCAATTGAGCCAGTTAAACACTCTGGCCCATTTAGGCCATCTGTAAAATCTAGGCCCTTTTGACCATTTTTACCATTTAGGCCCTTTGGAAATTTTAGGCCTTCTGGCCCATTGGTGATTTTAGTTCCTTTAACCACCACGGTGGTCTAGCAGTCAGAACACTAGACTTGTAAGCCTGGGGTCCCGGGTTCAATTCCCGGTGGTGCTCAAATTTATAACTTGTGTTGGGCAAGGCCGTGGTCTAGGCATCACGGAGTTTTCCTCCGGGGGCTTCCCCGGTTTCTCCGTGGCATCCCAACAATTACTCCACTCACACACAGAAGAAGGCAATGGCAAACCACTTCTGATCATCTCTGCCAAGAATGTATATATGTATGAGCAGGTCCCTGACAAAAGGAAGAGGTTGGAAGGATCCTGTTCATAATATATGGACCTGTCGTCAGACAGAACACTACAAAACAAACAAAAGGCCAAAGAAGCCCACCATGGACTTGGAAACAAACAGCCCAAAATATCCTAGCCTAACCAAACCCAACCTAACCTAACCACAAAAACTGACCAAACTCAACCTAACCAAACTGAATGTAACATACATTTACAAAACTGGCCTTTGGGTCACTTAAGCCCTTTTGGCCATACTAGAGTAACGTGCTCCTTTCGCAGCGCTTTCTATGGTCTGATGTTTTAGTTCTTTACATCGCTCTACAGAGGCCAACTGAATTAGGTCAAATCAAAGTCAACAAAATTATTCAATTTAAAAATGTAATTTAATTCTCAAGATGAAACACAGTAATTTAGAGAGCAGATGACACTCTTGGTCAACTACAGAAAGAGGAATGTAATTAACAGTTATAAATAACATCGTAGGATCTGAGGTTTTCACAGCAGTGAGTCTGTAGATTGCTGTCTTCTATGTTATTGCGCCGTGTAGTCTGGTCAATGTTAACCAACGTTTCAGAGGCATACTGCCTCCAGCATCAGGACAATGAATATTCATCTTCAAGTGGTGAAGTGCTGGAAGATTTCCTTGCTCGTGGAATCATTAATTGGGGTACTCCTGTAAGCAGGATCCTAGACAAAGGAATGTTGTTCATACAGCAGGCCAGGACTACAGAGACGTCAGGTTTAGTTTCTGTACTTCTTGAAGGCCCACCAAATTCTGGAAAGACAGCTCTTGCTGCGCAGATTGCAAAAAACTCGGACTTTCCTTTTGTGAAAGTTTGTACACCAGAATAAATGGTTGGCTTCACTGAATCTGAAAAATGTTTGCAAATAAGACAGGTAGGTGCTGTTTAATTTTTGTTTCTTTTGGTTTGGGGGAAGAGGAAAGCGAGTAGAGGACATTTAATATCAGTGCATTTCTATCTTTTGAATTTCAGTTGTGTTTATTAATGGTAATTAAAGTTTAAATGTAAATATTATCTTCCCAGTATCCCAGTCTAAATGTATGTATTCCCTTTTGTCTCAGTATGTGAAGTGTGTTTTCTGTGTATGGTATCAACCTATGATAACCATGCTTGCCTTAATACAGTTATACTCTTTTAAAATGTATTTTTTTACTTTCTTCAAAAGATCTTCCATTCTTGTCTTATCAAATGTTTCTGTTTTTTCTCAGTCAGCTGTCTTATCCCAGAAAAGTGATTTCTATTTGCCCTTGTTTTTTGAATGCATTTAGTTCTGCCAGTTTTAATTTTATTTCCATTGCCATTATATTTATTAGTGTCCTTTAATATATTTTTAATGTATGGCACATCATCGCAATTCCCGTGTAGTTTCCACCCACAGTGCTAGGTAGCACTTACCCCACCCTCTTCAACAAGTGCAGTGACCAGCTTGCTAACAGATCTTTTGTCATCAGGGTGATGAATTCATCGCATTGATGATGGAGGCAGTATGACCTCTGAAAATGTGGAATCTACCAGACTACACAACGCAATTACAGAGAAGACAGCAATCTTCATAAATAACATCATCTATATATGATGGGGGTTGCGTGAAAGTGCAAGAGTGCATTCTTCTTACCACAGCTACAGTGACAAAAACTCTTTAACATTTCATAAAAATTTCCACACTATGAAAACTGGAACACATTACATTTATGGTTCTCACATTTGCCTATAGCAAAAGTTTGCATAGCGATTTATCTCCACATTACCCCCATCATGACTTTTACATCAATGACATATTTTCATTTAACTATACATCAACGATATAGAATTGAATGGAATATTTACTTATATCTGGAATTATTCTCCTTTTTTAATCAATGCTGATTTTCCTAACAGTTCTATCTCCCTCACAACGGATACTGAAGAAAGTAACTGAACACAAATACAACTTTCTCCTTACCCATGAAATGTGTGTTTACTGTATTGAGCAGCGCATTTTCAAACCTCCTTCCTCTTCAAGTTCAGAAAGGAATTTCATAACTCTGTATGGCTCCTCTGTCTGACGAGTCATGTCAATCAAAGCGAGCAATTTCTTGACGCCAATGAACACCCTAAACAAAAGAATTCAGTATGTTCTAAACAAATTAATAATTTTATTTAGCATGAATCTAACTTTGAATTTGGCTTAATATTGTGTTTCGGTTAACTTTTCACTTTTACATACCTGTGTCGACGAAATCTCCGAGATAACGCTAACAAATCCTCCTCTGTGAAAACACGTGATTGTTGAAGAACAGCCTTTAAATGAACTTTTTGTGAAAGGTTTGGAACATGAAGAACAGCTGTAAATGCTGACAACATCTTCAAATCTTCTAACATTTCCCTAAACACATAAGTAAGAAGATAAATTAGATTAACAATGCTGGCAACACACCAAAAACTGCAAAAATCCTGCAAGCACAATTCAATTCAACAGCCTAAGTATCAAACCGGAAGTGATGTAAGTCTATGAGATGGTGTCATAATTCCAGTCATTCATAATCCTGTCTACACGTGGCTTTTCTCTGCCTTCAATAACTATAGTGATTTATTCCAGATGTCTATTAAGCAAAGACATCAATGCGTCTGCCTAATTTGAAGAAACATATGAATTTATGTTAATGCTTTTTCTGAGTCCCTTCATGAATTCTGATGTAAAAATCCAGCTGAACGCTAGACTTCACTGCAGTAGAATACTATAACTGAAGCGAAGATTATGTTTGAGAGTTTGAATTTTGATATCTGGATATTTTTTTCTGTTAATTATTATTTTGTGTTCAACTCAAGCTCTACATATTCTAGAATGCACACCAAGACCTACTTGCAAACTTGATCCCATGTTAAAAGCAGATCCAACCTCTTGGATGAAATTAAAGTAATTAATTGCTGGTGTTAATATTTCCTGTGATCAGACACATGTAACTGGCACGTCTCGCTTCCCATCATTCTCCTATGGGGGCGAAGATCTAGTTTTAAACCCTCAATTTCTGTCACTTTGTATGACATGTGACTCAGTCTAAATAGTGAATTTTAAACATCTAGAATACTGGTCCAAAAAGCTCCACAGATGACCCCATTACTCAACATCCCTTTCTTGAGCAAGAAGATGAGTTATATTTATACGAACATCAGCTAATTGAATATAAAAAACCAACATAAACAAGGATTTTTGAGATAAAAACTTTACAACTTTAAACATACGCAGCTTGCTGAAAGACTTCAATTTTAACAATTTTAATCAATGTCAATCAATTTTATCATTTCACTATTCTTAATGTGATTTCGACTTTCACACAATTCTGTCAGTCAATAGAATCCTTAGATAAGTCCACCTGAAGATGGTTCATCCTGGATCAAAACATGTAGTGGAGTAAACTAATGAGTGAGTAAAACCAAATAAGAACAGTTCTGTGTACAGATTTTTGTGTCATTTCACTTCTATTCCTCTGTTAACCATCGTCATGGCCGCGGATACCTTCTCAGCTATAAAGTGAGTAGGTATTTTTTTCCTTGGTGGTCTACATGTTGGTGTGACTTTACAGTTAATCCTTCAGAAAAGTTGTCAAATTGGAAAGAAACTCCGGGCAAAAGGCACATGAAACATGGAAAGATGCTTAAACAATTTATTAAATACACAAAATGAAGGTGAGGACAGTTCAGAAAACAACAAAGTCCCAGAAAACTCGCAGAAACGGATGTCAGATTTGGAAAGAAATGAAAAATTACAAATCACCAGGATATGACGATGGATCTGTTGACATTATCACAGCAGTGGGATCAATTGGGACATGCTGGCTATACTGAGTCTTATTGTGAGAAAAATTTGGGTTTAAAAAAGAATATCAGAAGACTGGTACAAAGTAATCGCTGTATATATTTACAAGAAAAGAGACAAGTGTGGAAACTACACAGGACTTACAATGTTGTGCCATACATTAAAAATATATTAAAGGACACTAATAAACACAATGACAATGGAAATAAAATTAGAACTGGCAGAAATAAATGCATTTAGAAAACAAGGACAAATACAAACCACATTTCTGGGATAAGACAGCTGACTGAGAAGAAACAGGAATATAGAAAGAGTTGATGATATTCAAAGATTAGAAGAAACATTTAATAACACAAGAAGGGAAGTAATATGGAAATGTATGAATTTCAACAGATCTTTTGAAGAAAGTAAAAAATACATTTGAAAAGACTATAACTGTATTAAGGCAAGAATGGTCATCATACGTTGATACCATATACAGAAAACACACTTCGCATACTGAGACAAAAGAGAATACATACATTTAAACTTTGATTACTATTAATAAACACAACTGAAATTTAAAAGAAAAAAATGCACTGATTTTAAATGTCCTCTACTCCCTCTCCCCTTCGCCCGAACCAAAAGAAACAAAAATAAAACATCACCTACCTTTCTTATTTGCAAACATTTTTCAGATTCAGTGAAGCCAACCATTTCTTCTGGTGTACAAACTTTCACAAAAGGAAAGTCCGAGTTTTTTGCGAGTTGCGCAGCAAGCGCTGTCTTTCCAGAGTTTGCTGAGCCTTCAAGAAGAACAGAAACTAAACCTGACGTGTCTGTAGCCCTGGCTTGCTGTATGAACAACATTCCATCTTCTAGGATCCTGCTTACAGGAGTACCCCAGTTAATAATTCCACTATCAAGGAAATGTTCTAGCACATCACCACTTCTTCCATAGGCCTAGACAAAAGAAATCAGTATTTATCACCACAGAAAAGTATTACAAATCAACTTGTTTTGAGTTGCTTTATAATTTCTTCCTATTCTTAACAGAAACATGTGGCTTCTTCAGAAAACACACCTTAGAAAAAACCATTAAGGAATATGTAACAGTTTCATAAATAAATTCTTAACCTATTTATCTTCCTTATGGGTAAAAAGCAAGGTTATGTGTCCCCATTCAACTTTTCAATCAAGTATACTTGATTTCCACAAAAAATTGTATGCCACTACAGACCAGCAAATCCTTATATATTTTATTTCCTATAGTCAGTAACAACACAGCGGATGCACAAACCTGTAACGTGGAGGCAACACCATAATGTCTGTACCTAGAATTAGCAGCTGAGGTTTGCACCTTTCACATGCAGTCACTTGGAAAGTATTAAATCTGGGAGGGAGGAGAACGAAGGAAGCAACAGAACATTAAACACATAGTGGTTCCAAATATAACATCGTGAAACAGTGTTATTCGACAAATGTGAATTGCTTTGTTCAATGTATTTTCAAACAAATATCAGACACTCATAAATACTGTATATTAATCTGAAAGCTTGGTTATGCAAATCCACACCTTTTATTCTCCACCAGAAAACAAGGTTACAACAATACGGAAGGAATAGATGGAAATTTGCAATTTGGCTGCCATTGCTTCCACAACATGCCTTCTGAATAAACTACACAGAGCTCATACTGAATGTCAACCTACGCTCTGGGTGATCACTCACAAAGAGCAGAACTTGACTCAGCTGCCACGTAAAGTGAAAAACACTATAGTACCAAGTAGGATTTGAAGTCGTCACAGCAGTAAGTACAAAAATTGTCTGAAACATTGGTAAACTTCTACAAGACTATATGGTACTGTAACCCAGAAAACAATTGTCTTCATACTTTCATACAACTTAACATAAGGTCCTGAAATAATGTACAGTAATAAATCTTTGAAAATTATACAGTTTTTGTTAAGGTCAACTTTTGTAGAATATGAACAAATAAAACTATTTCACTTAATGTCACTACAGCACACAGTTACACCACCAATAAACAAAAGTAACCTAAATACACACGCACTTCACTCACGTATTTCCAAAAAGAAAAGGGAAAGGATAAATTCACTAAACTTAATCTACAAAACAGATCTATTAACAAAAAAATATTGTATGGGTTTGTTAGCAAATAATATAAAACTAGGTCAACAAGCAAGTAGGAAAATAGTCACGTGGAAATCAATTTACTGTACTTACATTTAAAATCACAGAGCACTTAAATGGAATATGCCGTTTTACTGAACATCACTTCGATTTACTTACTTTAATATTCAGCACTTCATATAATTTTACTTCACTTCACTTGAAATCCTTATCTTAATTTTTAGGTTAGGTCTAATTTAGTTAGATTTATCCGTAGCTTAAAGATATGTAATACAATAAATACAGTAAATAATGCATAAAACCTAAATAATCAAATATAATTTATACACAGTTATATACAAATATGTTACAGTAAATTGCAAAATCCACGAACCTGTGTACAACTGTTTCCAAGCCAATATGGCGAATCGGCTACGAGCCGTATAAGATATTTAAAATTGCCAGCAATAAAATAATTTTGACTTGAATAGGATACAATTCTTTGACCTCATACAGGTGAAGAGCATGGTAATCTATGAACTACATTGCATTTCACTGTTGGATTACAAAATTTCATTACCAAAACAAAACATTAAAAACACAAGATTTGTAGCAGTTGCTGATCCTGGTCAAGAAGCCAGGTTATGTGGAATGCAATAATATTATCCGCCCCTCACTAACAACTGTATCATAATGCTACGGTATTTTAACAGTAGCAGCAACAAAAACAATGACAACAACAATAATAATACATTACAGTGTTTATAGTAAAACATTTCTTTTATATTCTTCCAATTTTTGTTGTCTGGTAGTGTACTAGTAACCAGAACAGAGCATTGACCAATTATTTGCAGTACTGAAAGTCTATAAAAGATCTGCCAAAAACACCTTGATAGATTTTTCAGAACAATAATATTTAACTTACGGGTTTGATGTCATTTTTAAGAGCTTGGAGGAAGTCTGATCCATTCACCAACTTCCACTTTCCTAGCAGCCTTGATAAGACGGTTCATTGCCGCGGACTGTGCAGCACGCACCAAATCTTGCAACTCAGCTCCACTAAAGTTTTTTGTTAGAACTGCCAATTCCTACAACATTACATACCAATTAAAGTCCTGTAGTCATTTTCCCATATCAAAAGTCTCAAAAATCTGCCCAACAGTACCTGTACCTCAGTACCCAGAGATAATAAACAAATGTACACCGCAATATTTTATAATGTATTAACTCTACTAAGTAGCTTTTAAAACTGGCACAACAAAAAACTTTTACAAAAAGAATGTTTCAGTGATTAATCTACATATAAGCGTCCAGCCCTAGATGAACACGTGTGAAATGAAAGCAGGTACTGAACTACACACTATCCTTTTAGTATAATTCTTCATCTTTCCGGGAGGTCAAGGCCACATTTTGGCTCATCCATGCTGTACCACCACAGCCAAGCAGATTAATTCACTTTAACCTCGGACGAAGGATAGATGCATCAGAATGCGGACTGTGTTCTGTAGTTGACATAACTCAAATTGTATATCCATGATTAGTAATAAGGTGATGTCTGGAAAAGACATGAGGTGTCTTGCAACAACACGGTTACCCATGCTGGACAGTGTCCGAAGATAATGCGGAACCCTCAAAAGTCTGGTCACAGAGGAAGTTCATAATTAGACCTACCTCACTCAACTATACACAACATTGCACGTGTCTATAAGCTTCAGCTGGTCTGGAAGATAACATACAGATCATGAATCAAAAATACAGATTGCCTTACAAATGTTTACCTGCACTGAAATAACATACTTTTCTGATAAAGCAACATTTTTACATGTGTGCAACAGTCAACAGACACAATGGCCATATATGGTGGAATTAAAATCATCATGAAGTTACTTAACAAAAGTGTGATTCACCAAAGGTAGATAAATGTGCATTGCACTTTGATTATGCTTTTTCACACAAATTGTTTATAGAATATGATACTAGATAAAGCTATAAACTGTCACAAGAAAATGTAGCATTCTGCAATAACAAAACATGATTATTCATATGTAAAATATAGAAAGAAAAAGGATTCTTACAATTTAACACAAACTAGAGTTTTCTTACCTATTTAATTTATACAGAATTTCATCCATGAAGTTGGATCTGCTTTTAACATGGGATCAAGGTTGCAAGTAGCTGTTGGTGTGCATATTAGAATATGTAGAGCCTGAGTTGGTACTTCTAGGCTGAATAAGATGGAGATTTATAAAGAAGGGGTTGAGTTGTGCTAAGTAAGAGGTTTTTAAGACATGAGGTTCACCACATATTAAAATGTTCTTGCGGATTTGAAACTGAACAAGTTATAACTATTTGAGTGTGGATTTGTAGCAGAATGGAGCCATAAGAAAATATGCCCTGGGCTACTACATCTAGACAGCTTCCTGTAAGACACCATTGTTAATACTGTCAAAGATTGTTACCCAACTCCTTTATTTAAATAATGCATGTCAATGTGGTTAGTATTTGAGCTTCCATCTTCCTTATCATATAGTGTTCCATAAATCTTTTTTTGTGAGGTCTTTATGAAATTTTGTCCTAATATTTCCTGGTTGTCATTCTCTAATGGTACTAGGCATTCTCTTTACATTAATAATAATTCAGATATTTCATAAAGTAATTTGGCGAACAGTTGGTTCTTGGCTCAGTTCTGTTTTGGATTCAGGTATTTGATGATGCTTACCGCTTGCAGTTGAGCTGTATATTGGTGGACAATGATGACTAAGTTATTTGGTAATCAAATTTTGCAAACAATCTACTAAATAAAAGAAAGTTAACATTTATTTTCAATAATTTTGATATCTAAGACATGAACCTAGAATTTAATAAGTAAATAATACACAAAATTACACTATAAGTATGCATCTTTCCATTATCATTTTATAATAATCAAATATAACCAATGGAACCTACAATATGGCACTTAGTGCCACTGTTACAGATAATACAATTTATAAGATAAAGCTGTTCATGTACGACTGCAAAGTGCTACCAACATCATGTAAATAACTACTGAAAAATGAGGCCAGACAGAAGTAAAAACAATGGTATGAGACTGAAAATTATCTCCATTCTTTAACATTAGGCAGAGAATTATTTGATTTTCATCCACTTTGTTCCAACAAAACTATAAATTGTTCTAAAAATAATAAAAAATTTGGAAATACAAATATTCATTCAAAATAACATACCATACCAATGAAAAAGTATGAATACGTAGTGATGAAAAGGAACATACCTGAAAGCACTGAGTAACATGTGCACAAACGCGGGGTTATCGTCTATAAATATAATGAAAATACTTTACAACGTAGCAGAAGAAACTAGTCACAGTTTAAAGAAGTAAATACGAGAAGATGAATACAGTAAATAATCTAAGTTATTTAATATATTGTGCTACTGACAATGTACAAATTCACTGTGTATTCTATTTTAATGTAAGCAATAACAAAGAACACCCTGCCAAGCAAAAATCCAATTTTAGTTCCACTTTGTATTAAATCATGTGACTGAAAGAAAAGCATAATAAATATGACTAATGAAAACATTTCAGACTGACCACTTCTGGGTTGTGATACTGTATACTTTTCTAGGTGAGAATTGGTGTTTGGAGGAACACACTTCTACCCTGAAGATGGAGGACGTATGTAATGTTGGTAACCATCAACAAGAAGACTACATGGCGTCACAACCCAGATGATCACATCCTGAAATCTCGCTACCATAAACATTTCAAGTCTCGCATAGGAAACATTTATTTTGGAATATGTGAACACTATCCCCACATACCCAAGCATGATGTTGGCTGAACACCAAAACGAATATTACATGCAGAGGAAAAGTTTATATAGTTTGATTTTACAATTCCAAAACATCCCACATCACACCACTGTGTAACAACACAAAATATCCTGAGATGTGAAAAGGAGATCCAATTAAGCAAGCACTATTCATGAATTATGTGTATACACATTCAGGAATGATTTTTAAAAAAGAAATACATCACAAACTACTAAGTTAGTGGCTCATAGATATTTTTGGTTGACCACATGTTTTGTAGACAATGTAAAATCACACATTTTTTACAGGTGCATGGATGAAGATACAATATTATTTATTTACAAAACAAATTAATTGCTGCCTAGATATGCCAAGTTATGAAATTATATGCCAGCATGTCAAAATGAAGAAAGTAATTTTATTATTACAGGCATAGCAAGAGCTGAGCCATAAAAGCAAATGTCTATCAAGTGGTAGGCAAAATATCATGAATAAGTACTTCTTGAGGATTAGACAACATATGAAATTAAACAAAGCCAAAAACACCACCACCAAAATAATGTATAAAGTTTATATTTATCAGAACTTCAGTCTTTCTTTCTTGTTATTTTTAGCATACACAGTGTTTTATCATATGTCCAGGTCCCTTACAGTTTTACAGCAAGCTTCCCACAGAGCAGAGCAGGCTGGTTGTTTGCTGCCCATTTCCCCCCTACAGCATGACATACCTTGGTTCCATGTAGTCTCTAAAAATGCTGAACTTCTGCTACTATGCAGGCTTCACATCTTAAGAAAATGTCTCTAGACACATGGAAAAATTGCCGTCTTTGAATAACATAAATTCACTGCCAAATAATTTTTTAGTTATTGTAGTGAATGAGAATTATTTACATGCACTTTTGCTTTTAGCATGCCCCATAACTAAAAATCATAAGAACTTTAATCAGGAGAGTAGGAAACCACAATCCTCGACTTATCACTCAATCACCAAAAGCTTCAACTAATGCATTCACAGACTCATTAGCTGTGTGGGCTGTAGCATTGTTCTGCGTGAAACACCCATATGTTATTTTATCTTCAGTAAAGTGACCATAGAAGTGTGTCAGAATTGATGTAACAAAATATTCAAAATTTGTTTTATAAAAAAATGGCCCCATTTATTCTCTTAGCATTAATTGTGGTCCAAACTATGACTTTCACAGCGCACAGGCACTTCATAAACAGAATGAGGATTTTCTGCTTTGACTGTTTACATACCTGCTTAATGCAAAATGTGCTTCATCTGACTAAATCTAAGTTCAGAGTCAAGAAATGGGATGCATCCACTCTTTGAAGAATGCCAGTGCACTTGTCTAATCCTGTGTGGGATTTATGGTTAGTTTCCTGGGAAGAAGCTGCTTGCCTGCAGTCCTTAGATTTCAAAGCCATCAGTGTCATGATAAACTGGAGTCTCTGTACTTACACATTAATAAGTTATAACCAATAAAAGTATGTATCTGAGCATGTTCTCACAACTGTTCCTACACAATGTTTTCTATGGTTGTAGGAAACAGTAACTGAAAATGTTGTAGCTAACTGATATCTTTGTAAATGGAGCATCCAGCATTTGGTTCTTGGTCTAGAAGATGGTGATTTTGATTGAGTTGTTTATTATCTGGCTCCAGATCGTTTGAAGCAAATGCCAATATAGTCCAGTAAAATATGCCATGTCTCTTCCTTACATCTTACCTAATTCATCATTTATAATCTCATTTCCAATCAAAACTACATAAAAACTAAACAACCAATTCCTCTACTCCAAGTTGCAGGTGAGAGACAGCCCCTCTGAATGTATGAAAGGTACAGTCAACTCTCGATTTACGAACCAGTTCCGTTTCAAGAAATTGTTTGTTGTACGTTTTTGTTCATTATGTGTATTTTGCATTCCTGAGCTTTTACGACACGTATCATATACGTTAGCAGCCATTTTAAAGCATTAAACCCATGTACTAAACATCGAATGGTGTGTACAATATGTTTTATTATAATGTATATATGCGTTATGAAAGAATACATTCTACGTGGTGTGGCATGTAAACCAATGTTTTCTTTACTGGCTAGATTAGTTTTATTAACCAACAACAGTCCAGTATAATTATCATACAATAATTTTCTGATAATTATTGTAATAAATAATTTTTTTAAAGTTATTTAAATATTAAAATTATGTTCACTATACGTTTGGCATTTAGTTTTATAAGGAACTCTACCTATTGGCGACCTTAAGAAATTTTGGATAAATCGTGACGTTCGTTATAGGGAATGTTCGTAAACCGAGAGTTTTCTGTATTATAAACTGCTGCTTGGTCAGGGCTATCACACGCCTCGTGAGACGGTGACAGATGAGTATGAAGCAATGGTACAATGATGATTAGCAGCAGTAAACCAAATGACAGAGAAACCTGCTCCATTGCCAGTTCATCCAACGTAAATCTCACACGAGGTCACTTGAGCTTAAACGTGGGTCTCTACGGTGAGAAGCCAGCATCTTACCACCAGACTTGTGGCACAGCCCATGTTACATTACCTAAGCAGCTAAAGTGTTGCTAAATACATTAAGAAACCAACCAAACCACTATTTTAAGGCAAGGTTGCCACTCTACACCTATTATTTTTAATCATGTAACATATGATGTAAAATGTACCTGCTCACCAGTATAATTGTCACAGAGGCACCCAGCAAACAATTTAAATTGTGAATCCAGTTATTTACTATCAAGACGTTTTCAATTAAGTTCTTGCACCAGAAAGTTATGCACATGTTAATCTGTTATTTTATAAATTAAACATATATTTCAATTCCTTGCTAAGTTTCATTAAAAGCTTAATTTGTTTTAACACAAATAAATTAAGATACTACAAATGATTAATCTATATGCTAACATTTTTATTTTATTAATACACTAGCCTGAGATTTTTAAACTGTTCTGTAGAAAAGTACTGATTATGGTGGACACTTTTAAAATCACAGCATAAAGTTAAAATTTACTACAACTTTAAATTTTATTATGTGTTACTTAAACCACATTTGTAACACTTTATCACCTTATTTCTAAATTAATAATTTTGCATATAAATTAAATACTGTACATTTTCACATATTAATTTAGAGCTGTGTGAATAGAAGCATCATAAATAATGCTACAGAACCTAGTAACGTTTGTGTATAGAGATTAAGAATACACTAATTTTAACTTCTATAATAAGTATATACTTTATCTAATAAATCAAGTACAGTAGGGCCCCGCTTTACGGCGCTCCGCTTTACGGCGATTCGCTAATACGGCGCTCAACAGCTGAGTCAGAGAAGTGTGTCCGGCGCCATTTTCTCGTCGCTGATTCAATCTGTTTACAGCTTTTGTACGCTCCGCGTCTCCGTATTTCTGGCAATTTTTCAAAGTTATTACAAACTGTATATTTATGTAATATTTTTGTGTTTCTACAGTGTAATTACAATGGCGTCAAAGGGTAGTAGCGATAAAAAGAGGAGTCGTAAGCCTCTTACTTTAAATACCAAGTTAGATATAATTAAACTTCGTGAACAAGGCATGTCTATGGCCGAGATAGGACGTAAGCTAAGCTTAGCTCGCAAAACTGTTAGTGCCATCGTGAACGCTAAGGAGAAAGTGTTAAAGGAACGTATAAGCGGTGCCCTACTGTACATGGCAATATGGTGGGTATGAGAGGAGCAGATATAGTTCAAGCTCCAATTCTGAACCATAAAATAAATTTAAAAAGTAAAAATAATTGTAAGGACTGTGTAAAGCTAGAAATGGAACTTGGTAAGACCATATCAGAATACATCTCAAAATAAAAAGATTAAGTTCCTTCCTACATGAGCTGGCTCTATTCCAGTCTTCAGGCGACTGGTTTTCATTATATTGACTGATTTTTCAAGACTATCTAAATACTAGACCAGATACATTAGAATAGCTGTGTATATTAAATACACATCAGACAATAAAAAAGCCCAACAAAATAATGTTGGTATAAGCCATTATATATATAATATGATACTTCTGTGAATATTCAACACGTCACATTTATCTTGTGGGATGAAGACAGACACTATATTCCTCCAGAATAGTATCATCTTTACAGTTGTGAGAACCTTAAATTTCACATAACATTTATCTGACACATTGGGAGCTTTTAGTATGTTAAGGAAAGGGTCGTGTAATTGAAAACATGGAATGAAAGGGTTCCATTAATTAGGATATTTAAAAACTACTAGGTCCAACCCTTTTCAGTTATCTCTTGTGCTTTGCCAGTATCAAATCCAAACTCTGAAATCACTACCAGTTGCAAGTTGTACCTACATTTAAGTGTATGCTACAAAGCAACTGTGAGTAACATTACTGAATATATGATAAAATATAATATTCTAATGGATTGTTCTCACTTTCATACTCCAGTATTAATTTCAAAATTTCACTGTGCATTGACTTACTAAATGACTTACTTTTGTGGATCTGAAATGACAAAATATGCACAGTTAAACCACATGTAATATTGTATGTGTAAGACTTTCCTGTCCTAATTTCTAGCTTAAGGCAAACTACATTTTGCCAGTTTTGGAGCCATAATAAATATTCTGAGCAGTGAAAGTAAATTTGTCAGTTGTCTGCCTTCTTTTTAGGGAATATCAGTTCTGCACCACATGAATATAAATCAGTACTGTTATTTGTGATACATGTTACACTTTTATGTAATACACTGGTAGCACTTAAATAAAATCATGCTATATATAGGGGTTTGGTAAATAATAGGGTTTATACAAAAACCGACTTTTGAAAAAACCAGTTTTCGAATCCCAGTATTTCCAAAAAACTGGTTTTAGATTTTTTACAAAAACAAAATATAATTAAAACAGTAAAAATATTTATAGTTATTTTAAAAATTTTCAGTTTACTTAATAGTTATGGAACTACAAAAATAGAACGAAATAAAATATACCACATACAAAACCAAAAAAACCTAAAATCCGTACAAAATATATATTATAAATTTTTATTTCATTTAGCATTTTTCTTCAGGAAATATGATTTCAAAAAACATAAAATGTCCATTGAACGATTACTTAATCTTGTTCGTATTCTAGATACAAAATTGCATGAAATATAAAATACTCTCTCACTGGCTACTAAACTTCGTTTTATCGTTTTCAGGGCATCAAATAATAAATCCAAATTCTTTGTTCTTTTATTGGTTGTCTCAAATACTGATAATTCGGCCTTCAGTATCTTCGGATTCGATATTATTTCTTCAGGTTCCTCAAGAAACCTATGAATTGATTTTTCCATGGCTCCTTTCAGAGCTTTGCCCTGATTAATGGTTTCTCCGTCTCCAATATATTCATCTTCGGAATCTGTTTCCATACAAGAATTTGAATATATTCTAGACAATATTTTTCCAGATAACTTAACAATATCGAATTTTGAAGCTAGTGGAAATACACTAGATTTCTTTGTTGAAATGTTTTGTGGATTTTGCAAATATAGCAAAAGGGTTACCAATCCAACTTGTCTTCTTTCTTGAATTCATATTTCTAAAGCATTTAATAATTTGGAACTAATTTCAGCCTGACTCACAAAGATTAATTTTACTACAATATGCTTGCGCCCGAGGCAATTTCAAGTCAAAATGTTAACGTTTTTAATTAATTAATTTTTACATATTAATTCTAGTATCTAAAACCGGTTTTTTAAATGTTAAAGACCTGTTTTAGAATTTTACAAATTTATCCAAAAAAACTTGTTTTTAAAAACCGACAAACCCTAGTAAATAAAGTGGTAATATACCTCCCTGTGTAAAATGTTGCAATGCAGTAATGCTAAAATAAATGACTAGCCAATAGATTGTACAGAACAGCCCAAGGATATGCGCTACTACGATTCTGTCCCGTGTCTGGTGACATCTAAACATTTAATACTGGATATGGCAAAACTGACAAAACAATGACCGACGATAACTTAACTGGATCATTTCAAATTCTACTGTACTTCTCCAATGCAACTATGATGGGGTATATAAAAGAGTAAGGTCAAATCAAAGTCAACAAAATTAATCAATTTAAAAACATAATTTAATTCTCAAGATGAAACAAGTAATTGTTTTTAAAAACCGACAAACCCTAGTAAATAAAGTGGTAATATACCTCCCTGTGTAAAATGTTGCAATGCAGTAATGCTAAAATAAATGACTAGCCAATAGATTGTACAGAACAGCCCAAGGATATGCGCTACTACGATTCTGTCCCGTGTCTGGTGACATCTAAACATTTAATACTGGATATGGCAAAACTGACAAAACAATGACCGACGATAACTTAACTGGATCATTTCAAATTCTACTGTACTTCTCCAATGCAACTATGATGGGGTATATAAAAGAGTAAGGTCAAATCAAAGTCAACAAAATTAATCAATTTAAAAACATAATTTAATTCTCAAGATGAAACAAGTAATTTAGAGCTGATTACACTCTTGGTCAACTACAGAATGAGGAATGTAATTAACAGTTATAAATAACATCGTAGGATCTGAGGTTTTCACAGCGGTAAGTCTGAAGATTGCTGTCTTCTGGGCTGTTGTGCCATGTAATCTGGTAGATTTCCACCAAAATTTCAGAGGTCATACTGCCTCCATCATCAAGGCGATGAGTTCATTGCCCTGATGACGGAGGCAGTATGACCTCTGAAACGTTTGTGGAAATCTACCAGACTACAGGGCGCAATAACCCAGAAGACAGCAATCTTCATAAATAACATCATCTATATATGATGGGGGTTACGTGAAAGTGCAAGAGTGCATTCTTCTTACTACAGCTACAGTGACAAAAACTCTTTTAACATTTCATAAAAATTTCCACACTATGAAAACTGGAACATTTACATTTATGGTTCTCACATTTGCCTACAGCAAAAGTTTGCATAGCGATTTATCTCCACATTACCCCCATCATGAATTTTACATCAATAACATATTTAACTATACATCAACAACGATATAGAATTGAAGTCTTTCAAGACTAAACAGAGTCTAAATAAATACAATTATCACAAAACAGTGTTTATATTCTGGGATAAATCTAAAAGGAAATGTACTATTAATGGAATCTAATTTACCATGAAATGGCAAATATCAAGACTGGTGTTAACATCTTACTGTATCTATGTGTTATCTTTTCACAGAATTACACTCGACTAATGAAAAGTTTTACACCTTCATTATTTAAAGATAACCTTCAACAGGACAGAAATTCATTACATACAAAAATTCCAATTAATTAAACTTCTAGTCAATATTTCTAACGACTTTACCAAGACGCATTAAGATTTAAACCACAAGAATGAACAAAAATACATATTTTTTACTGATCATAGTTTCTTCCTGTTTTTAGATATGCAGAACTGGAATAACCATGGAATATTTACTTATATCTGGAGTTATTCTCCTTTTTAAATCAATGTTGATTTTCCTAATAGTTCTGTCTCCCTCACAACGGATACTGAAGAAAGTAACTGAACACAAATACAACTTTCTCCTTACCCACAAAATGTGTGCTTACTGTATTGAGGAGCCCATATCCAAACCTCCTTCCTCTTCAAGTTTAGAAAGGAATTTTATAACTCTGTACGGCTCCTCTGTCTGACGAGCCATGTCAATCAAAGCCAGCAATTTCTTGATGCCAATGAACACCCTAAACAAATAAATTCAGTATGTTCTAAACAAATTAATAATTTTATTTAGCATCAATCTAACTTTGAATTTGGCTTAATATTGTGTTTCGGTTAAGTTTTCACTTTTACATACCTGTGCCCATGAATCTTCCGAGATAACGCTGACAAATCCTTCTTGGTGAAAACATCTGATTCTTCAAGAACAGCCATTAAATGATCTGGTTGTGAAAGGTTTGGAACATGAACAACAGCTGTAAATGCTGACAACATCTCCATATCTTCTAACACTTGCCTAAACACATAAATAAGATTTATTTAGCATCAATCTAACTTTGAATTTGGCTTAATACTGTGTTTTGGTTAACTTTTCACTTTACCATACCTGTGCCCAAGAATCTTCTGAGATAACGCTGACAAATCCTTCTTGGTGAAAACATCTGATTCTTCAAGAACAGCCATTACTTGATCTGGTTGTGACAGGTTTGGAACATGAAGAACATCTGTAAATGCTGACAAAATCTTCAAATCTTCTAACATTTCCCTAAACATATTAGCAGATAAATTAGCTTAACAATGCTGGCAACACACCAAAAACTGCAATAATCCTGCAAGTACAATTCAATACAACAGCCTAAGTATCAAACCGGAAGTGATGTAAGCCTATGAGATGGTGTCATAATTCCAGTCATTCATAATCTTGTCTACAAGTGGCTTTTCTCTGCCTTCAATAGCTATAGTGATTTATTCTAGATGTCCATTAAACAAAGACATCAATACGTCTGCCTAATTTGAAGAAAAATATGAATTTATGTTAATGCTTTTTCTGAGTCCCTTCATGAATTCTGATGTATAAATCCAGCTGAACGCTAGACTTCACTGCAGTAGAATACCATAACTGAAGCGAAGATTATGTTTGAGAGTTTGAATTTTGATATTTGGATATTATTTCTTTTAATTATTATTTTGTATTCACACAAATAATAATTAAAACTGAGTACATACAAGTGGCTTTTCTCTGCCTTCAATAGCTATAGTGATTTATTCTAGATGTCCATTAAACAAAGACATCAATACGTCTGCCTAATTTGAAGAAAAATATGAATTTATGTTAATGCTTTTTCTGAGTCCCTTCATGAATTCTGATGTATAAATCCAGCTGAACGCTAGACTTCACTGCAGTAGAATACCATAACTGAAGCGAAGATTATGTTTGAGAGTTTGAATTTTGATATTTGGATATTATTTCTTTTAATTATTATTTTGTATTCACACAAATAATAATTAAAACTGAGTACATGCATATTAATCAACTATATGTTTCAAAACTTTACTAATTTCATTGCGGGTTACATTTATTATTTCTGACTTATTATTTTAGTTGGATGGAGCCAGGGTAGCTCAGTCAGTTTAGTGACAGTCTATGTACTGGACAACCAGGATTCAATCCCCAACAAGGGCAGAGGATTTTCCTGTAGGCTCTGCATCCAGACTATCTCTGGGGCCCACCCAACCTCCTGTCCAAAGGGTACAGGGATTCCCTTCCCCGGGGGTTAAAGCATGGCCAGGGCGTAAAGCTGCTGCTTGAAGGCATCAAGACAAATTGTCATTGATGCACAAACCATTGTATTTTCGTTATATTGAACCACACGACCTTGAAACACTGTACTTCCCACATGACTGCACACAAGTTATTTCCTTGATTTTTTTATACTGACATTGTATCAACCAGTACATAACATGGTGTATCCTAGCCTTTTGGATGGTCTGAATTTGGAAACAGAAACATTTTAATCTGCGATAGTCAGAGTGAATTCAACAATGATAAAGGCGAAAAGTCTTGAGGTTGAGAAACCATTAAATAATGTGGACAATGAAACAGATATTGTGAGTGATGGAAAATAAAGTTACTAAGCAATCTGCTATTGAAATGACCACACTTGCAGACTGGAAGTGGGAAAAAATTTATAATTCGTATGTTGCAAATTTCTTACTGACATTCCATTTAAATACTGCCAGTGTGATCTTAGGGGGCATTTAAATACCGACTTGAAGAATTAAATATATCGATGTATATTCACTACTTACATTAGCACTAAAACTTACCTCCTGCTGCTTGTACAAAGAATTAATAGTTTCCGTCCTTTTGGGGGTTCTTTTTTCAAAAGAACAAGGAGTGCCTGCAGCGTAAGGTTAGAATAACGAGGACCAATTGAACCGTAATCAAGAAGACGTTCAATGTTGTCCACCAATATACAGCTCAACTGCGAGCGGTAAGCATCATCAAATACCTGAATCCAAAACAGAACTGAGCTAAGAACTGAAACAACTGTAGGCCAAATTACTATATAAATTATCCTTATTATTAATGTAAAGAGCCATCACAGTGGCCGCGTGGTCTGAGGAGTGGGCCTTGTGCCACTTGGTCACTGGGACCGTGGGTTCGAATCCCACTCATGGCATGGATGTAGACGCCTTGTGATGGGCTGATCACTCGTCCAAGGAGTCCTACCAACTGTATAATAGATCAAAGCCAACGAAAGTTGGGACCTGCAGATGCTCAAGGCACTGAAGAAGAGGTCATCTAAGTATCCTAAGTAAGTAAGTATTAATGTAAAGTGCCATTAGAGAATGGCAACCAGGAAATATTAGGGCAAAATGTCATAGAGAGACTTCACAAACAGAGATTTATGGAACACTATATGATAAGGAAGATGGGAGCTCAAATACCAAATTGACAAGCATTATTTAAATAAAGGAGTTGGGTAACAATCTTTGACAGTATTAACAACGGTGTCTTACAGCAAGCTGTCTAGATGTAGTAGCCCAGGGCATATTTTCTCATGGCTCCATTTTGCTACAAATTCACACTCAAATACTTAAAACCTGTTCAGTTTCAAATCCGCAAGAACATTTTAATATGTGGTGAACCTCATGTCTTAAAAACCTCTTACTTATCATAACAATTTTTGTGTCATTTCACTTCTATTCCTCTGTTAACCATCGTCATGGCAGCGGATACCTTCTCAGCTATAAAGTGAGTAGGTAGTAAGTGGAGGTCTACAAGTTGGTGTGACTTTACAGTTAACATTTCAGAAAAGTTGTCAAATTGGAAAGAAAGCCTGGGCAAAAGGCACATAAAACATGGAAAGATGCTTAAACAATTTATTATATACACAAAATGAAGGTGAGGACAGTACAGAAAACAACAAAGTCCCAGAAAACTCGCAGAAACGGATGTCAGATTTGGAAAGAAATGACAAATTACAAATCACCAGGATATGATGATGGATCTGTTGACATTATCACAGCAGTGGGATCAATTGGGACATGCTGGCTATACTGAGTCTTATTGTGAGAAATATTTGGGTTTAAAAAAGAATATCAGAAGACTGGTACAAAGTAATCGCTGTATATAATTACAAGAAAAGAGACAGGTGTGAAAACTACACAGGACTTACAATGTTGTGCCAGAAACTAAAAATTTATTAAAGGACACTATTAAACACAATGACAATGGAAATAAAATTAGAACTGGCAGAACTAAATGCATTTAGAAAACAAGGGCAAATACAAACCACATTTCTGGGATAAGACAGCTGACTGAGAAGAAACAGGAATATAAAAAGAGTTGATGATATTCATAGATAAGAAACTTGATAGCACAAGAAGGAAAGTGATACAGAAAAGTAGGAATTTCAACACATCTTTTGAAGAAAGTAAAAAATACATTTGAAAAGCCTATAACTGTATTAATGCAAGCATGGTTATCATAGGTTGGTACCAAACACAGAAAACACACTTCACATACTGAGACAAAAGAGAATACTTACATTTAAACTGGGATACTGGGAACGACCCGTTCTTGAAGTGCCTGAGCACTGCGGGTACAAAAATTTTTCGTTGGCTTGATCAATAGACATTCGGTAGGACTCCTTCGACGAGACATTTAAACTTTAATTACTATTAATAAACACAACTGAAATTCAAAAGAAACGAAATACACTGATTTTAAATGTCCTCTACTCCCTCTCCCCTTCGCCCGAACCAAAAGAAACAAAAATAAAACAGCACCTACCTTTCTTATTTGCAAGCATTTGGCGGATTCAGTGAAGCCAACCATTTCTTCTGGTGTACAAACTTTCACAAAAGGAAAGTCTGAGTTTTTTGCGAGTTGCGCAGCAAGAGCTGTCTTTCCAGAGTTTGGTGGGCCTTCAAGAAGAACAGAAACTAAACCTGACGTGTCTGTAGCCCTGGCCTGCTGTATGAACAACATTCCATCTTCTAGGATACTGCTTACAGGAGTACCCCAGTTAATTATTCCACGAGCAAGGAAATGTTCCAGCACTTCACCACTTGTTCCAAAGGCCTAGTAAAAAAAAAACAGTATTTATCACCACACAAAAGTATTACGATTCAAATTGATTTGAGTTGCTTTATAATTTCTTCCTATTCTTTACAGAAACATGTGGCTTCTTCAGAACACACACCTTAGAAGAAACCAATAAGGCATATGTAACAGTTTCACAAATAAATTCTTAACCTATTTTCCTTCCTTATGGGTAAAAAAGTAAGCTTATGTGATCAGAACACTTTGTGTCCCCCCATTCAACTTTTCAACCAAGTAACTGATTTTCACAGAAAATGGTGTGCCACTACAGACCAGCAAATCCTTATATATTTTATTTCCTGTAATCAGTAACACAGCGGATGCACAAACCTGACGTGGAGGCAACACCATAATGTCTGTACCTAGAATTAGCAGCTGAGGTTTGCAAGGTTGCTTGGTCAAGAATCCATATTGTGTGGAATGCAATAATATTACCCCCCGCCCAAAAAAAAAAAACCACCAACTGTATCATGATGCTAAGATATTTTAACAGCAGCAGCAACAACAACAATAATACATTGTTGTGTTTATAGTAAAGCACTTCTTTTATATTCCTCTAATTTTTGTGGTCTGGTAGTGTACTAGTAACCAGACCAGAGCATTCAACAATTATTTGTAGAACTAAAAGTCTATAAAAGATCTGCCAAAAACACCTTGATAGATTTTTCGGAGCAATAATATTTAACTTACGGGTTTGATATCATTTTCAAGAGCATGAAGGAAGTCTGATCGATTAACCAACAACTTCTCCATAGCTTCAGGATCGACTTCCACTTTGCTAGCAGCCTTAATAAGACGGTTCATTGCCGTGGACTGTGCAGCACGCACCAAACCTTCCAACTCTGCTCCACTAAAGTTCTTTGTTAGAACTGCCAATTCCTACAACATTACATACCAATTAAAGTCCTGTAGTCACTTACCCATATCAAAAGTCTCAAAAATCTGCCCAACAGTACCCAGAGATAAGAAACAAATGTACACCACAATATTTTATAACATATTAACTCTAATAAGTAGCTTTTAAAACGGGCACAACAAAAAACTTCTATAAATAGAATGTTTCAGTAATTAATCTACAAATAAGCATTGAGCCATAGATGAATACGTGTGAAATGAAAGCAGGTACTGAA